TCTCATAGAATATCAGAGGGATAAGTTTTATCAAATGAAGATTTTTCGATAATTCTTACAAAATAGATCGAAAAGATATTTCCTGCTCTTCTAGTTCTTATTTCATCATCAAACGCTTCTCGATGAGATAGACGACGAATGGCTTGAAGCAAGAGATGGGAAGAAGATGTCACATCTTTCAGATTTTGAGGACGTCGTCAAGGAGACAATACCTTTTATGCTCTTTGAAATAAAACAGACAAAAATGTGAATGGAGAACGAAAGAAGAGAGTGAGAGGCGGAGATGTAGGTAGAGAAACGCTGCCATCCTTTTCTCTGTTGTGTCCATTTAGTAAAGCTCATTCATCCATATAAAACTCATTCAAAATCTGATTTTAGCAGGACAGCTTTAAAGAAAGCAATGATTCCATGCCATATAAGTACATCTGCCCGTCGGCTTTCTCTTTTCCTAAAAACATTTTCCCTTTATTAGCTGCTAACTAGAATATTCATTCTGACACTATACAGTTGATGCTCCTGTGCAAATGCTGTCAACAGTCATCAATTTTCTGGGAACGGGTTTGTGTTCTTCAAGAGATTTTGGGATGTGAGGTGTGGATGCATAATGAGCCTGCAATTCTAGTCAGAGCTTCACGCGTACAAAATTTTGTCATTACTCTATAGGTGAGCAACTGCAGCAGAAGACAAATTGATCTTTGCTAACCTAATGGTCGTCTTCGTTGTCATCGTCATCTGGTGAACAATGTCGACCTTCACGTATCCACTTCAAGCCTTGTTATTGTTTGGATTTAGGCAGCTGATGAATGTGCGAATGTCATTTTTCCCTCAATTATCTCGAAATTATATTTGTCTCACAGCCATTATATTTCTGGTCTGATTCCTTTGAAAGTAAGTATCGATAAGGATTCAGTTATTTTAATCTTGCATTCATCCAGTATTTTGAACAATCAGGAGATTTTGAACTTGTCAAACTCTGTTCCGTATATCATACGTTTCGAATTTTTTTTTGTTTCTTTTGGGAGCTTTGCTGAGTTGAGAGTGTAGCAAACGATCGGGTATTTTGCAGGAAAGTGAAGGAGCTTGTCCTAAATCACAAATTATGATTCTTTTTAACAATTCAATGATCGTTTTTTTTCGTCTCTCTGAAAGTCATCTTCTCCTTCCAACTCTCAGTTGTGACACTTATCCTTTTTTTTTTTGGTGATATCGCTGTTCAAAAAAATGTCGAAAGCATAACAAAAACAAATAGATAGAATACAGGTGGATGATATTCAAATCTTTACACCCTTTCTATCCTCTCCAAATACGCTTTAATGCTTTTATCTGCTTTTCCCCCTCTCGTCATTTTCTTTTTTTTCCTAGTCGCAACATTTCTGTCCGATTGTACTGTGCTCCAATAGTGTGTTGAGTACGATTGGCTTTAAACGTCGTTCATGAGTAGGTGGATTCCGAAGCTTCTGACGACATCGAATTCACGTCTCTGTCGTGAAGATATGTGCGATAAAAAGAAAGAGAAGAAGACGAAGTGGAACAACTCCAAGTACTATCTGACTATCTGACTGCCTGTGTGTGTGTGTGTTTGTACGGAAGAAATGAGGGATAAGCGCAAATCACATTCCATCAGCGGTGATTACAATCACACAATCTTTGTACGTGCGCGTTTTTTTTCGAATGGTATTCATTCATCAATTTTTGTGACGTCGTTACCCGGCTTCTCACCGTTGTCTTCTATTTGGGAGCTCTTATGTCGTGCTACCCTCCGCCATTGGCTCAGCCACTTACCTCAAGTGTCAAATGCCGGTGCTCTTCGTGTTTTACCAGCTCCCCGAACACACATACAAGCTGAAGAGATGAAGGCATAATGAAGAGTCTACATAGGTAAGAGAAGGACAATTTCAGAGAGTTACAGAAGAGGTAAGAGGGTAAAAGAAGCTGTAAGACGGATACTGTAAGGCCGAAGAGATACAGTTGAAATATCAGATCTTATTCTCTTCATGTCCTTCCCCTTCTTCATCTTCTGCTTTTCTCTTAACGTCTCTCTATCTATGTTCCAACATCAAGATCTCTCTCTCTCCCTCTCTCTTCATTCTTCTATTTTACTCAAATTGTTACCGTACAACCTCTTAAGCAGGAGGAGCATCAACCCCAACTACTACAACACTTAGATGATCAGCTTCTACAAGTAGTTGGCACTGTTGCGAGTTGATGTTCCAACGACTCTTCTGGTTTCATTTACATCTTTTATTAGCTTCTTCCATTTTTCATTTTCTTTTCTATCTGATGTTTCTCCTAAAGGTTTTCTGTCCTCTTCCCTTTTCTGCTAAAATCGTTTCAATAGTTCTTAACTTGTTTTTCAACTCGCTCTTCTTACTCTTATTTTCTCCAAAATAAACGGAACGCTCAACACAGCACAAAGCTTATAAATGTTCAAGAGCTTACTACTTGCATTTCTCCAAATGATTTTCGAACTTCTTTGATATCAACTGTATCAGATGATTATGACCGATCAAAGAAATTAATCAAATTCGGCAGAAAAAGTAACTTGAATTGCAAGTGAAGAGATGAGTGAGCTTTTCGAGTGCTTCTGCGCGACAAGGTTTACGCGAACGACACCCCCAATGAAGAGGAAAAGAAGAAGAAGAAGAGTAAAACAATCTTTATCCTCATATCTGCGAAATCAGAGTGTTAGGAAGAACAAAAGCGTTGTCGTCTTTATCTGTTTCAGTTTTTTTTTTCTTCATATACTTCTCTTCAATCTGTTGTTATCATTTACTAGATCTTGTTATGAACTGTGATTGGCAGCGATTCACAAGCTCTTTGTCAATAGCTCTACCCAGTTCAGTCCTCTTTTGATAGTTTTTGAGCTTGTTGGAACTAATTATTCATTCTCGTTACCTCGGCATTTACTCCTGAAATAGTCATCAGTCTTGCTGAATCAAGTATTCATTATTACCTGTGGCACTTCTTTAATTGTCTAAGGTTGAGTTCTCTCTCTCTCTAGCTCTCTTTGTGTCTTGTTCTCTCTCCTACACAGTAAATTCTCAAAAATATCTTTGGAGAACTTTGTTGAAATTTTTGAATCCCCTTGTTGTCACCGGGAGAATTGTGTTTTTCATTCTTTTTTCGCTTGTAATGAAGATGTGTGTAAAATTAGGAAAATTGTTTGGAGCTTCATTAGGTGCGATGCGCTATATGAGAGACAGAGTAGGAGAGAAAGATAAAGATAGAGAGAAGAATATTCAGCGAAATCTTTAAAAGTGTTGGAATAGCTGTATAATTGAAGAGACAAAAAGCTCAATGCTGTGTTTTTTGAGAGGGGGCAGACATTAAAATGAGCACCTAGTTAGATGGAAAACAGGTATGGAAAGAGAGGAAGTAGAGAAAAGCCAAATGTGAGAAAGAAGAAGAGATAAGAGAGAGAAGAGATTCTCGTGTAAACGAAGCAGTGCATGGCAAGGGTAGAAATGTTTTATTTGTTCTCCGAGAGCTAGAAGGAGATGGATCTCATTCTTCTTCTTCTTCTCCTTCTTCTTCTTCTCCTTCTTCTTCTTCTTCTTCTTCTTCTTCTTCTTCTACTTGCCTATCGCTCAGATCTAAACTGAGCTCAAATCTTCTGCTTATGTCGACAAGTAACTTCTTCTTCCTCTATCATCAAACTTTTTGATCGTATATCTCTTTCAAAATCATCTTATTCTTCTAAATTTGCTCTTTCTTTTGAGACTGTTGAATACTCGTTCTTCATGACCCCTTCTTCTTCCACTTTATCCTCGGAAAAGCGAAGTTCAAGTCTTTGGTTTCAATGCTTGCCGTTAATCTTCTATCCGCACGGTAAATCGTCGATTTTTTCGCTACGATTTCAATCGCACAATAATCAATAGATCAAGAGCTCAAACGAAAGGATATGAAGATGCCAAAAAATACTATACCGAGAGCTCACGGAGCGAAATTGCGTAGAGAGATATGAAAAGAAAAACTGAAAACGTTTGGCGATGAAGTGACAGTAGGGATTGCTACCCCTTCTTTGTCTCTTTCTCTCTTTCTCTATCTCAACACCTCTACATCTCTTTATATTGCTTCATTTACTTCCTTTTCCCTGCTACCGTTCATTCACAACAGAGCTGATTTACCTTTAATGGCAATCCTCCATGACCTCGCTATGTATTTCATTCGAGCTATTACTACCTATCTCGTATGTATTTCAAACATGCGCAACAGGTAGTACCAGTTTTTTTTTGAAAACAATGTATAAACAAAACAGAATATTAGATAACTATTTGAAAATAAAAGTAGATACACTATATTCAATTAGTTTGTACAAGTAAAGATAGAGATGAGTGTAGAGTGAGTGAGTGAGAGAGAGAGAGAGTATTGATATGCAAGAGAGACGCATACAACAAAAATAAAATATATATTCTAATAACAATTTGTAGTGATAGTCCTTATAAGAAGATGAATGTACAAGCCTAAGTGGTACAGTTGCTCTCTCTTTCTCTCTTTAAACTTCCAAACCTTCGCTACTCATCATCAAATATTATTTGTCTTTACTTCTAATTGGCCGACTACTCAAACAATCACAATCAATCTCTCAGAAAGTAACTCTTCTTCATATGCTTAGCAGCAGTCCTTAACTTGTATATTAAATTATCTTATTTTTCGAAGGGTTGTGAGAAATTTTTACAGTGGCTATGAGACATACATTTTCTGTGCTTCTATCGCCGTATCCGCTACAGTTGCATCTTTTTCCATTTCATCTCCTGTCTCTCAGAACCAAATGCAGACCAATCTCCGCCCTTCTTTTAAGCTTCTTTTCACATGTTCTCATTGGTTTGTACCATTGTACTTACGTCAACTCTATGTTCGCTCAATTACTCATCTCTCATTATTTATTTTTCTTCCTCTTTCTAATATCATTCGTTTTACCTTTTATTCTGCTCATCCGTTTTTTTCTTCGTATCTACTACTATTCAGACTCTCGTTTCATTCTCATTTTTGCAGCTCAAATGACTCGGCTGGGTCCGTGGCTGTTAGCTGCGGTTGCTTTTCTAGCATTGGACAATGTCTTGGCTGGAGCAAACTGTACCGCAGCCGATGCTACCAAAAACTGCATCGATGGAATGATTGTGCCAATTTGGTAAGTAAAACAAACACACATCAAAAAAATTAATTCTCGCATGTTCGAATAGCTCAACCGATCTGCGCGCGTACTAGTTTGAAAATAACATGATATTGAATTTCGGGTGCTCACGTAGATCTCACGTGAACTTTTCGAAACATTTCGATTCTATTAGTTATTTTTTAAACATATTTGCGACTTTTGCGACAATTTTTCTAAACTTGTCTAATCGAACACAGATTTGTGTTTGAATCATATATCAGATGAGTTTATTCGATCCAGATGTTGAATGAGCGGTTAAGAGTTAGCAGATGAAGCCAATAAGTCGAAAATGCTTGAGATCAATTAGATTTTTTTGATTCAATGAAATCAAGTGTATTATATGAACATATGACTATCGAATTGCAGGAGACCATTTTTGGATTTGACAGTCTCTGATCGATTTACTCGAGGATTCATTTATTTTTTGGTCATAGCTTATCTTTTCGTAGGAATTTCTATAGTAGCTGATAGATTCATGAGTGGTATCGAAGTGATCACCAGGTATCCTAGACATCATTGTGAACCCTTATATGAATGGGAAAACATTTCAGTCAAGAAAGAACAATCATCGTTAAAAGACCAGGATTGGAACCTGTTGAAGTACAAGTCAGGATATGGAACGACACCGTATCCAACTTAACTTTGATGGCTCTTGGTTTGTTTTGTTGTGAACAAGACATATGAAGATATCTATCGTATAGGATCATCTGCTCCTGAAATTCTGTTGTCCATCATTGAAGTTATTGCCAGAGGCTTCGAAGCTGGAGATCTCGGACCAAATACTATTGTCGGTTCAGCTGCTTTCAACTTGTTCATGATCATTGCCATTTGTGTCATGTGCATTCCCAAAGGAGAAGTCCGTCGTCAGAAGCATTTAGATGTCTTCTTCGTAACTGCTACCTGGTATATTATAATTTGCCATATTCTCACATTCATTTGCATTGTAGGTCTGTCTTCGCTTATATCTGGCTTTATGCTATTCTTGCTGTAATTTCTCCTGGAGAAATTGAAATTTGGGAAGGTTTATTGACCTTCATGTTCTTCCCATTGACTGTTTTGACAGCTTGGGTTGCTGACATCAAGATTATTCAAGTACATTACCACATTTTTAATTTGTTCATACATCTCATCTTTCAAGACTCGTTTCTTACCTCGTCGTTATCGTCGCGGTTCTCACGGAATGATCGCCACTGAAGGAGAAGAACTCAAAATGCTCGAAGGCAACGGAATTTCTCAGGCATATAACGATTTCGCTCAGGTAGAATGACAAAGACATCTTTCTTCATCCTCACCATCATCCTCACCCAATTTGCTCACACGAAAAGACAATAATTCACTCGAAAGAACGATTAAAGGCATGTCAACTATCACAACACTAACATAAAAAACGACGATGACAAATCGAACAAAACAGACAATTTGAACGAATTTCTTCACAGATACACAAGAGAGGACTCGAGGTTTGAGGAAGAAAAATGGATTTTCATTCTTCCTACTTGTTAATAAAATAATTTTTCTTTAAAACAAACAAAAAAAACAACCTTCTTAACTACATTAATTTTTAGATGACGAAAGTCATTTCAACTGCTCCACCTGTAAGATGAATTGCTTTTTTAATATCCCAAAGTGTATTTGAGCTTCTGCACTTAAGCTTTTGTCATTATCTCGCTTGCTCGCTATTGTTTGAATCTCACCTAATAAGCTCATGGAACTGCTTGAAAACTCACTTCTCTTAGTATGCCGTATAAGCTTACTGTTTTAGGGATGTGTTGATCCAGCCGTTAGAGCTTTCGAAGAGCATCGTCAAGAATTCATTGAGCTCATGAGAGAGATTCGTAAGCAAAACCCACATATCACCCCCACCGAATTGCAAAAGCAAGCTGAATATGAGATGATCAATCGGTAATTTGAAAAAGGGAAGAGACATGTTAACGTGTATACTTACAGTGGACCCAAATCTCGTGCTTTCTACAGAGTACAGGCTACCCGTCGTCTCATTGGTGGAGGAGATATTGTTAAGAAGCGTATTGATAAGGAACACAACAAGGCCCTCGATGCGGTTAGTTCAGAGCTTTCTAATTCTGCTTCTTCTCTTGCTTCTTTAATCTCGTCTTTGATTAATATTTTAATGTTTCCTCTCTTCAATTTAATGGTTTTTCAGCTTCACTCATATAATGCTTACGAACAATACTTGAAAAACTAAAACATCGATATGAAAGGCTCTTGATAACGTGCTTTGACTAAAACAAAACTAAATTCTCGAACATAATTATAGAAAATCGAAAAAAAAAGACGGGATATCCATGAATAATTGCATCTGCATATGACTTCTCTCTCATATTTTGTGCCGTGACTAACAGATTCTCGTTGACGAGTGTTTCACATGTTTCAGTTGCTGCAGGCTCAAGAAAAACAAAACCGCGAAAACACATGTAAGATCTTCTTTGATCCTGCTCACTACACCGTTCTGGAGAACGTTGGAACATTCGATGTCATTGTTGGACGGTTGGCATTAAAGGGGATCTTCCCTACTCAATATACCAATTTCAGTGATGGTGGACCAGAAGGACTCACTGTTCTTGTCGATTATTACACTGAAGATGGAACTGCCAATGCTGGATCTGACTTCATCCCTGTTAAGGGAACTTTGACTTTCTATCCAGAAGACAAGCATCAAAAGATTGAAATCGAAATTGTTGATGATGATGTATTCGAAGAGGATGAGCACTTCTACCTTCATTTGAAGAACTTGCGTGTTCGCACTATGGTACACTATAATAATATAAACATGTACTCATGGCATCAACCAAATTTAGGATGGACTCATTCTTGACCCATCTCGCATCGGAGGACTCCCAGTTGCCCAACTCGAAATGCCAGCTACTGCTACCATCATGATTCTCGGTATAGTCTGATGTACAGACACGAGCTGAAGATAGTTCTTTCCAGATGACGATCATGCAGGAGTTTTCTCTTTCGAACATGATCACTTCCAAATCATTGAAAGCTGTGGACATTTGTCTCTCAAAGTTCAACGTCACTCTGGAGCTCGTGGAAAGGTTGTTATTCCCTACAGGTAAGAAAGAAAGAGGAAAATTTGGTCGGAAAACACACAAAGTACTCGTTTCAATTCATTCTTCTCAACAACTTTTGAAAATGAACTTTGCTTGGGAGGCTCATAGACTGAAGATTCAGAGCATTTGCCATCTCTACTTTTCAGTAGATTTACACATGTCGAATGAAAGTTGAAATCGCATTTTCTACACTTTCTCTTATCTCTCCCTCTCTCATTACGTTATTTGCCAAGGTCTTGACTGTGTACACGTCATTAAAACTTCTGGCTATATTTGTTTTCAACTCGAATAGACTGCCTATGATGAGCATTCGGCGCTTCAGAAGACAAGCCACTAGAAGATGTCGACAATTTCTTAGTTGGGAATAAAACGAGTACTGAATGTGATTATTAACTGAGAACACGATATGTCATTCGGGGGAGAATGAACAAAAAACAATTGTAACCGAGAAAAGCATTAAACTTGCTCTTCTTTCCAGAACTTCCGATGGATCAGCCATTGGCGAGAAGCATTATGAAACCAAGGAAGGAGAAATTGTCTTCGATGATAACCAGACCGAGTACGTAGAAGCTTTAAAAAGCATTCTTTTCATATATATTCCTCCTTTATCATTGACTGAAAATATTTTATAGAGCCTTCATCGAACTCGGAATTATGGATACAGAGCAATATGAGCGCTCCGATTACTTCTTCATCGAACTGTCCCCACCTGTATGGACAAAGAAGATGAGCGGTCAGTTTGCATATTATACAGCACGGAACAAAAATAATTTAATTGAGAAAAACAATTGCAAGAAAGAAAAGACTTCTTCATCTTTTTTTAACTCTCTCACTTTTTTTTCTTTTCTTTTCTTTTCGTACAGCACATGAATGAATCGTGTCGTGAAGCAAACAAGTACCGTCTTGAACGTTGAATTTTTAATTTTCCTCTGCGAGCTTTCCTCTTTACATCTCAACTCAAAAACTGTGGGAAATTAAAAATTTGACTAAAAGACATGTAAGGTTATGAGATATTCATTTGCACTCCATTTATTGCATCGCTTTTTGTGACTGTCGTGATGCAAAACGTTCGTTGTTAAACTTTTCGAGTTGTCGAAAAGAACTTTTTCCTTATTTGGAACAATATTGCCCGCAGCTTAACGTGTTGTGTTTGTCAGATCTCAGCAAGGTTCAAGAACGATTCCAACGACGCATGGAACAGAAGCGTGCCGCTTCCGTCGCCTCAGACAGTACCGAACAAGGTCCTTCCAGTTCTATTTATTACGCCCGAGTCTCCCTTTATACTTTACCTTTCGTCTTTTACCTTTTGTCGGAAACCTCAGAGCACCGTAATGTTTTCCAGCTCACTCAAGAACTGTTCAATGGCTCTTTCTCTCTCTCTTTCTTTTTTGCGAAATCATCAGAACGGTTCTTGAGTGCAAGCTTTCACATCCCTTTCATTTACCTTCTTTTCCCTATCAAGCTTTCTGCTTTTTAGCAAAGTTGTCTAGACCCAGAGCTAACTCAGCGGATTTACTTCATGCAGACCCAAATACAGATAGAGCTGTATCTGCATCTCCGAATCTGCACGACAGATTCCGGAAAAGATTAGGGTCTTGGATACATGGCATGAAAGGTTGCTTTTAGAACACATTTCTTTATGTTCGTCCAGTCTCCTCTCAGAATGCTGCAAGTCCAATGTTTGTATTGCTTGGAAATGTCCGTATGTGCATGCAAAGCTTCTGAATATATATATATATACAGTCTGCTTCTATCCCCTAACACCAGAACCTTTCTGTTATATTTAGTCTCAACACTTAGTATTTATATGTGATTGGGATGAGAAAGATCTGATTTGAGCTTTTTTCTAAGATTATCAAACAGATCTCATGCACCCGAAAAAAGAAACTGTAAAAAACTTTTATCATTTTTAGGAAGTGATGAACAAATCCAAAACTTGACTGCTGACCAACTCGAAATTGCCGAGTTAGGAAAGCCACGTCTCGGAGAATTCATCAAATGTCAAATCACCATTTCTGAATCTAAGGAATTCCAAGTAATTCCCTTGTCTGAAATCGTGATTGCATTTGCTTATTAAGGGAATTGTCGACCGCATGATCAAGAATGCCAACACCAAGCTTATGTTAGGAACATCCTCATGGAGAGAACAGTTCATGGAAGCTTTGACTGTTAGTGCTGGAGATGATGATGATGATAATGATGAGGAAGGAGAAGGAAGTGAGGAAGGAGAACCAGCTCAACCAACCACTATGGACTACGTTATGCATTTCATCACTGTACCATGGAAGCTTGGTTTCGCTCTCATCCCACCAACAGGTATTATTTTGGCGGATCACGATTTTATCAAGTTTGTCTATTTAAGATTACTGGGGAGGATGGGCTTGCTTCACCGTTTCCATTGCCATGATTGGAGTCTTGACTGCTGTCGTTGGAGATTTGGCTTCTCAATTCGGTTGTTGGGTAGGATTAAAGGACGCTGTAACTGCTATCTCTTTCGTCGCCCTCGGAACCTCTGTCCCCGGTATTTCAACTCTCTAACATATTTTTTCTTATGTCTTGTCATTCTTCAGATACTTTCGCCTCCAAGGTGTCTGCTGTTCAAGACAAGTATGCCGATAACGCCGTCGGAAACGTTACAGGATCTAATGCTGTCAACGTTTTCCTTGGAATCGGTATTGCCTGGTCTATGGCCGCCATCTACCATGCCGTCAACGGAAGCAGATTCCTTGTCGACCCTGGAAATCTTGGATTCTCCGTACTCATCTTCTGTCTTGAAGCCGTCCTTTGTATTTGTGTGATTGTTTTAAGAAGAAATAAATTAGTCGGAGGAGAATTAGGAGGACCAATGGGATTCAGAGTGAGTGAACTTTAAGAGAAAATGTAAATGACCCAATCACTTTCAGGTAGCCACTTCTGGATTTTTCGCCTTCCTCTGGTTCACATACGTTTTCTTATCTGCTCTCGAAGCCTACTGTGTTATTCCCGGCTTCTAAACTCCTCATATGTTAGAGTTGATACCGGGTTTAATAACAGACGGGGGATTCTTAGTCCTCATATATTACTTTCTTGAAAATATGTTTTTCTAAAATTTTTTCGAAAACTGAAAGCTCATTCTCATACGCAATGATCCGACGCTTATTCAGTGGATACCATCTCTATCTCTCTGTCTCTTTCTTTCTGTCTTTATATAATTGAGTTTTGAAGTAGAAAGTATGCTTACATGAGCATAATGGCCCAACACTACCATCTTTGGTCACAATTAGCTGTTGGTTGAGCGGGTATCTCACCTGAATAGCATTCAGAAATATTTCAGTTTCCACACCAAATTCGCTTATGACGTCTTTGACATGTGTCTTATTTTTTTTAAATTTGATCTTCTCCTTCGTAATTGGAAAGCCTTCGCATACAATCAGCTAGGTCCCTTTTAGGCAATTTGTCTACGTGTTTTTCTTTTTTCTCATTGAAGCAGTCATATCCTGAATTCTTACCTTGAACATATCAACTTTTGTGTCTTCGGAGTTAAGATCCATTCTCCATGAATCAGATTCAGATTCTGATATGACTTGTTGAGAATCAGTTATGTGACTGCCCTCCCACTCCTCTTTTCTTGTTGGTCATGATCCATGGTGCCTACGTTTTTTTTCTTTTTTTTTTCGAATTCAGAGATTTATATATTATCTTTAACTTCATAAATAGAATTTTACATTTAGATTTTTATTATATATGGATATCTCCGTTGTTGTCACTGTTCAGGCCTTCTAGACATAGCTTTCTATGTGTTTTTTACTGATTATTCAGGGTTCTCTTACTACTCTCCAGCCCTTCTAATCTTACCTTCTGGATATTGTCAAATTCAGAAAAATTCTTGCAAATACGAAGCTTCTTCGTTTTTCTTGAGTTTCTCTTTGTTAGTCTTGACACCAATTAGAATTTAATAAGCTTTTGATAACCGTGAAAGACAACTCCAAACTTGTTCAGTTCAATTCTTATCCCGTCCTGACAGAAGCACACACATCTCCTATAGTCATTTTCTTCAGAACTTTGTGATTAAATGTACCAAATAAACTTTTTAAATGTTCAATTGTCTTTGTTTGAATGAGCAGGAAGAAAAAAAAATACTTTGACCCTCCTATTTCACAACTAATGCTCTACTATCAAGGTATATTCCAGAATGGCCTCTCCATATCACCATCTTAACTTTATAATTTTGCACGTGAAAGTCACAAGTCTAGAATTATCACTATCTGAGTGTTTTCACCTTAAATTTACACCCAGACTGTGTTGACAAGAATGTAAGTGAAATGAAAAACAGTTAAATAGTTTTCAGCCAAGCAATATTACTTCAAAGAACAAGAAAGTTCAAACTAAAGGTGATGTGCGTTGCAGTGGTGATGTTGTAAATGATGATAAGAAAAACGAGGTTGAGAAAAAGAAAAATATTAGGAGACTAGACATGAATAGATATAAGACACAACCGTTCTGTATGTTCGATTTTGACCGAATGATTCACAGACGGATATTTCACGTGAAATACGTGAAAACAAAAATTTTTAAATTACAAGCAGCTACAGAACGTGTTGTCACTAATTAATGCTGTATAGTCACCGTCTACACTTCTTGATTATTTCCAGTTCAATGCAAGAATAAAGATAGTTATTAGAGAGAAGATTTTCTCTGTTGTCAATTAACGAAGAAGGTGCAGAAGACGAAATAGGCGATGGACATAATTAGAAACTATCATCACGAAATATTAGAAGTCGAAAAAGGAAATGAAGAAGATATAATTCAATTGACCTTATTCGATCAATATGGAAAATCTTGGGTTTATCTTTTACGTTAGTATGATTGTTGCCGTATTCGAAAGAATGGGTTCATGATTGAAAGTGAATGTGGCGGAGATGCTGCTCACGTGAACATAGTCAGGAGTAGAGTAATAAATAGTTGGATAGGCCCATATGGTACTTCGCACCGCTCACATAATTGAACTATCTGCTATTGTGAGTTGATAAGAACTCATAACCTTCTGATTCTTTCTAATCTTATTGTGTTTAAAAACAACAAGTGTAATTGAGTGATATGAGAATCATTTTATCATTTAATACCTTTTTCTGGACTTTTTTCCGCTTATCTTCTCCAAAGTTACTGTGTTTCTGCGAATTCCTTATAATTTCTGAAGAAACTCAACACTTCGTTGGACCAAGGCAGCCATCAATAACTTTTTAGGGGATTCCCCTTTGCAAGTTCCTGAGATCAATCGTTCGCGTCTAACTAGAACTGATTAAAAATAAAAAATTTTATTATGAAAACAACTCTTATTAGACATGTACATTCCAAATATGTAAGACAAATCTCAGAAAGGCAATAATCTGGACTGAGAAATTTATAATACAAGCAGAGAAACTAGAGCTGAGTTTCTGACTAACGTGCAACATCAAGTTCCAATCTGCATATACCGGCAAACGTTTCTGAAATCATGGAGAATGAAACTTTTGTCAACTCAAGAAATATGTTTACTAAAGGGACTTCATGTTCAAAAGCGACAACAGTTCATAGTATTTTCTCTTTTCAACACATTGTAGTATACGAACCACTTATTCTAACAGTATTCTGGAGGAGGCATAGGTGATGGCAATGTGAAGAAGAGTTTGAGTCTGAACGCGTCTTTTCCATTCAAATAGTATCTGCAAGGAGAATATTAAACATCAAAAGAATGTAAAAAACGCTCACCTGATTAATCTCTTATCTCTTATGAAGCCCAGCTTTGAGTATAAACCTTGAGCAGTCAGGTTATCAACCTTTAAATGCAATCGTTTTTTTCCTTCTCTAATCGTGTACTACAAACCTCTGTTTCCAAATAAACTTCATCGCAGCCTTGATGTTGCATGTTTCGAATCGCGCGTGATACTAACTTCGTTCCTGAATCAAGATATGAATGCGAACACTACAAAACTAAGAAAACCTAATCCTTGTCGACGAAGAGAAGCGTCAATGGCTAACATAGCAATGTATCCACGTTTTCGGTTATCAGTTTGAGTTTCAACTTTTCCAACAACAGCTCCCACAATAGCATCTCGTGTTTTATCGTAAGCCTGAAAAAAAAATAGATGATAGATTTATGACGAGAATGATAGTCAACCGCTTAACGTCTTATCAAAACTTAAATGAATTTCACGTGCGACTAACGTAGACTGATTTCGGCGGCAAAAAATTTGAATACTTACGAGGATACATAATTCAGGCCATGAATGAACAAAAAATCTGTATGTGTAAATAGAATATGGTTCGCTCAAATCTTTTGTCATAAGTCTCATAATATCTGCTAAGTTTGTTTCATCCTGTAATGTAACATGTTGAATATGGGAATGCTGAGAGACTCGTTAACCTTATACTGAATCAGTTCAATGGATTGTCCTAAGGGGTCTACGGGTTCATCTTCACTTAAATAATGTTGACAGTGAGGCCATTGTGATCCATCAGGCATAGTATTACAATCATTTTCAGCGGGAGAGTTAGTCTTAAATGTATAAATATAATGATAAAAAGGTTTATTATAAATCAGACCTGTTTCTGGACGCAGCTTGGCCCTGGTTTCGCCATTTGACGACACCTTTCTAAAATGTTTATAACCGCATCCACTGATTTTGACCTATCATCCATTCCCACAGCCATTTCTAAAACGATCAAAATTTAGCTAAACATGTTGATCTGATACAATAAACAAGAAAAATTGGAAAAGACTTAAGAAAACACATTGTAAAGCAGAAAATTGGAAAAGTCTTGAGTGTAGACAAGCTGAAAAGAGTGTACGCAATCACGTATTTCAAAGAAAAATTATTGACATCAACCGTTTTGAGTGCTCAATTTCTACCGGAGTACTATAGTACAAGTTAGATTAAAGATTCATCATCGAATTCAAGAACTGAAATATCAGGAAAATGAAACACGCGATAGAGAATCTCCGTATTTATTTCTTGGGCCTAAAAGGGGCGGTACACTAGTCGCACTGCAGCATGGTACGAGTGTTCTAAGGGGTGATGAAGAGCTGAAGAGAGCAACTGTACCATACCGCCCACAAATTTGTGGACCAAGGAGAGGGCATCCCTAGGAACATTACAAACGAGATTTTGAGTTTATAATGATTTCATTTGGTAGTTTTGCAGCAAACAAGCACTTTTCCTTCTTTTTTGGGGCAGGATAAGTGAACGTGTGGCGAATGATTTGTGACGGACATGACTTTCTCGTTTTGTTTCCAAAATGTTCCCATGGATTAGCTGTTGATGGAAAGGTTCGAAGTCTTCAAATGGACACATTGGATAAAAATAATCAAGAAAAAAATTGTATAACTTCCGAATTACTATGAAAAGCAGACTTGAGATTGATAATGAGAGAAGAAAATAAGCAGCTTAGGAAGTAAAACAGTCGAATGCGGCCATTGCTAGGTTTTCCCCATACTCTTTCTCTCTGCATTTCCTTCTCTCTTATCGTTCGGAAAGATATCAATCACAGAAGAAATAGCGAATGGATTGTCTTCCCCACTATGTGGAAACATATTTATTTTGTGCACATTGGCAAGTTATCAGTTTTGGTTTGTATGATCTTAGAACCTTTTCGATGATAACACTCATGTTAGCGAGGTCATCTACACGTGTACTAAACCAAAGGCTTTTCCCCATTCTTATACGGTCGTTCGGTCAATCCATAAAAGGGTCTGTGAGAGAATAAGAAAAAAAACGAAATGTCCATATATATAGTGACTCCCTCTACTTGTGATTGACACATTAAACTTCATAATTTACGAGAAACCATATAAACTGAACCTGTCTTGAAATTTGAAAATAAAAAACAACAGAAATGATGGCAAAGAAACAATTTATTAAATACTTCTCTATTGACCCGTTCTGATTAATTTTGAGATGTTCAAAGACAGTATTTGAGATTCAAATGTACATGTGTGCTGTGCTTAAGGAAATCACAGGAGAGATAAGACGAAAGTGAGATTGTTGGATAGAGAGACAGAGAGAGAGAGAGAGAGAGAGTGAAATAGAATATGAGAGAGAGAGATTAATCATAGTGATATCAAAAATTGTTTAAAACTATACGAAGACTGTCGTTTCATTATTCAAAGGATTATTAGCTATACCCGTATCCAATTCCAAAGCCATTTTACTTTCATTTCCGATCGCCATGTTATTTCTGAAAGAATATTTTATTTGTTCATTTCCTATATTCGTCTTGTACCTGAATATCATGGCTTCGTGCTTTTGAGGATAAGCTGAGCTGCATCGAACTCCCAGAGTCTTGTAGACTTGTTGTCTTCAAAAGTACAAATCATACATTTGTATCTTTGCCGCACAATGTAATTACCTGATGCTTGCCGAGCATACCAACAGGAGAGCCGTATTAATAGATGAATTCGTGCAGAACAGCATCATGACTGTCCACCCTGCCCATTTACCTTCACCTGAACAAGATAGTCGGATGTAACCTTTCACGCATTGAAGTTCAACATCACAAAGGTGATATTTCACAAAATTTACCTGTTCCATAGGTGATAAGAACCTGACCAAAAACGAACATGATGAGATTGATGACGCAGGGTAACAGTAACCTTAACGAAAAAAAAATCTTTTTTGTAACTTTGGATAAAATAAGTTCTCATGAAAGCTCATGTGCTGAAAGGACTATTTAGGTTGTCCAAGGTCATTTCTGTTTCTTTTCTAATCACGCTGGTTGTTCAGTTAATTTGGAAATATCATCATTCAAGAATTGCGAACAAATGAAAGTGAACAAAACGATTTTTAGTGAAATTTTTGAAAAAAAACAGAGAATTTGAAAAAAAAACTGACATTTTCTAGAGTAAAATTAATTTTTTAGAAGAGAGAGAGAGGGAGAATAGAAGAGACGAGAGAGAAGGAGAGAAGGAGAAGAAGAGATAGAGTGATGTTGAGAGTTCGTACCTGCTTTCAATATTGTTGTGAAGATGGGCTATTGGAGTTGAAGTGATGACGCTATTCCGACGCCGTCTTATCAGTAATATCAATGACCAACTGGAATTAATGCAACTTAGATATAATCAAATATGGAAATGTACATACTTATAGAATATGCAAGGTGGAATTATAGCTATTATGTGGAAGCCCAAGAACATAGCTGACTGACCACCACTCATGTATAGATCGAAATCTTCAGCCAGCATACCGTATGAGGATGGATCGTAATAGAATGTCACATACCAAGGTTGGAAATGAGTACATAGAACCTGAAATTATTATAATTTGCTGATTCTCTGCTTTTCCTCTATTTTGTTCATTTTAGTTCCCGCATCTGATTCTGTTAGGAGAAGATCAATTAAAGACGTTTTTGATTGTCTTGCTGAGTTCCTATCAGTTCAATCTTTCGCTTGGCTACATACTCTGCTCTGAGCTTTTATTGGGGTCGTAGAGCAGCACTGCCTCACCAAAAAGACCATTTAGGGACGTTTGTGACAAGAAATTCAAATGACAATCATATTGAATTATAAAAAAACAAATTAAGGCAAGTATTTTGACCTTTCGATGTTCAACTGTTCCCAAGGAGGGAAATATACTAACATTCTAATCTTTGTCAAAGTTGGAAGGGAATGTGGTGGGTGGGTGTATGAGGGAGGAAAACATACCTGAATGAGAGATATAATGTAACAGAATGAGCATAGCATGTATGATGTTTTCCTTGCTTGGCTTCGAAAGTCAATTGGATGACGAATTGCAGACCATCTCGACCAGGCTATTAAGCTGTAATGCCAAACCATAGAAAACCATGCCCAGTCCAGATAAAGCTTAAAAAAGAGCAATATGTTGTATTGAAACTATGATGTACCTGCATCCAATGCCTTAAAGGCTTCGAAATAATTTCTGATTTGAAGAGAATGGTTAAGCCTGGCCATACTCCATAGTTTATGAGAAGAAGAATATCACAGACACCAGCAGATATCAGAAAACGATAACCCACGATTTCCTTCAAAGATACATCTTCAACAACATGATACTCTCTTCTGATTTGTTTGATAGCTGGTTGAGTAGGAAAACAAATGATTTTTTGGATTTACAAACACGCGGCTGGCTAATCAGATGAAATACATCAGGATTGACATCCATCAGAACCGGATAAAATTTTTTTATTTTAAAAGGAAAATAAAAGTTCATCAAAGACGTTTTGTTAATTTCCCATCGACAAAAGAACGTTTGGACGACGGACATGTGAAACAGCATGACTTCCAAGATGTAATTCAATGAAAAAAAAACTTTTTTCCTCGGTTTTATCTATGCCGTCAGATCAAGATGAGCTCAAGTTCTATCGAAAAACCAAAGGAGCATCGAACTCTGTTTAAATGGAGGAAGACATTAAGCTCAACACATGAAGCTCATAAGTGATTTCCGGTCTTCGTTGATTGACCAAAAATAGAAATTTGTAACAAAAAGCGTTTTAACTAAATGATTAAGCTCAATTAGGGCAACCGACGAGGACAACCCAATTGGAGGAAGGAGGTTGGAAGTTGTGAAGAAAGTTCAATTCACCTTATCATGCTTTCTCATTGTTCTCAATATAATAATATACAAGGCAATAGAGAACATCGCAACTAGCAACAGTGAGCCTCCGGCTACGAAATCTTCCATATCCAGAGGCTCTTCATACCACAACACATCGTTCATGCCTGAAATACAGAAGGTGATCTATGAAATATTGTTAATGAGGATAATGATATGGGATTGACTAACTGAAAATGAGAAACAGTGTGAGATATATGAGTGAAGGAGGTGAATGAAGTTGAGAGAAAAGAGAGAGAATGAGAGAAGCAACCGTTCACACGTCTTTGAACTAATCAGAATGGCTAAAACACGTGAACGCGTGAGATTTGAAAGAATATGCAAATTCTGACGTGGGTTGAATATGTAAATTAGCTGTATGAATGACGTTTTAAAGGAGATGCGAGAATGAAATTTTTGTATTAAAAATGAAACAAAAGGAAAAAAAGAAGGCTTGATTTGCTTAATGGAAATAAGAAGAATAAGCATGAGAGTAAGAGAGAGGGAAAAAGAAAAAGAATGAGAGAGGGAGGGAAATGAGAAACCATATAAGGGAATAATATATTTATTTGACAATTTCAATGAAGATGAAGCTCATTCATCATTTCAACTTTACATTTAATTCATTTATTCTTTTTAATAATATAAAAAGTGAAAAGTTCAAAATTCAAAGTTCCATCATCACGAGCAAGCCCATTGAACGCTCTATCATTTGAAAATCATTTGGAAGGAAGGAAAAAAAGAATTTTTTGTTTTCCTTCAACTGCTTATGAAGCTTAGAAGACTTGCAAGTAGAGCAAACGAGCTTGTATTGCTAGAAACGAATTGAAATGCCGTTTTTTCATTTTCAAAAGTTAGAGAGTGCAGTTTGTAGGAGGATAGCAAAGGAAAGACAACTGCTGAAAGCATTCTCCATTCTTGGTATCTTTATAAATATGAAAATTCAAATATTGAGTACAATATGGTTGTTTTTGACAAGAAAATATGAAAAAGTATGATTGGACATTCTACTCGTCTCTCATACCCTTTCGTACGTCTGAGTGAAAATCATTGAATGAGAGATGAAAAAGCTGAGATGAAAGAGTAAGTTTCAAGATTTACAGTAATCAGTTATTTCTGAATTCATAGACGAGATGTGGGAAGTTGCAACATGCAAATAAATAAAATCCTTTCGACCATCCCTCCGTAAGATCAAGAAACGGCCTCTCAACAAGTTAAGTAAAATGTAAATTTGAAGATGTTCTAGTTGTGCGTTATAGAAGATGGAAGTAGATGAGGATGATGTTGAAAAATAAAATATTTACCTGTCAATCGCCAATTTGGGGCATATCGCTTCATTCGTATCATTGATAACATGATTTATAGAGGGATGTTAGAAAAACGGTGAGCTGCTTTAATGTTAGAAGCGTGTTCTTGTGAACGAAGATAAACGGAAATGCAGATCTCCTTTAATTATTTTCGTTTGGAGACCAAAAAAGGGGGCGGAGACATTCTATAGCTCCATCAACCCTTTCACTTCAGCATTACCAGTTTTCTCAGCCAATATGTTACACACACGTACACACATCATTCCAACGTTTATTCTTCTTTAACTATATAATATAGCATATAATTTATATTATTTTAATATAATAAAGAATATAGAATGTTGTTTCTATGCATGTGATACATCCGTCAGCACTCTTGATGACTTCAAGACGACCGATGGATAATGGATGAAGCTGAGAATAAATTTCGGCGAATAAAAAAAATTTTGGGGAAAAGCTGACTGGTCAACTACTTGGAAGCAAATAAGGAAATTATTTTTCCTGTCACGAACTTTGCAATGTTTCTGCTGAAGTAAGTTGTGAATTATTTGTTCACGTCAGCATAAGCGAAAACACTGATTGCTCACGAAAATGCCAAATTGAATTCTCGAGGCTGTAAGTAGGAGGAGGCATGACGGATGTCACAAAAAATGAAACGAAAAATGAATTGGAATGAAGGATAAAATGTAAATGAGCAAGTGAAAAGGTGAAACAGACAATGACATGAGATGAACGTACGCATGAGGAGGACATTTCCTAAAATGACATAAAGCTAAGATTATGCTCAGCAGCAGATCTCCATAAAAGTTAATGAATATTCAATTAAGAGTCCAATTAAATTTTCTTTTTGTTCTTCTCACCATAGTCTTTGCTTTGTCAACCCGTAATTATTATAAAAATAAATTTTTATTTTGAAGTATTTCGTCTTCATTGAAGCTTCTTTGTCTGCTTAGCAATGAACTTACGACGGTGGACGTCCTTCTCTTGGGGCATCTGCCATCATTGCAGCTTATTGCGAAGACAATGCTCTCTCTCTCTCTCTCTCTCTCTCTCTCTATCTCTTCAATGAGATGAACAAAAAAGGGAAACAAAATATAATTATTTTAATAAACAAATGACAAAGTTTTGTGAACTTGACAAGTCACACAAGCAAGTGTTCCAACTACAAGTTCGGTTTTTTTCATTTGAAAAACGTCTCGTTTTCCATTCATTCCCATACTTGTTTTATTTTCTTCTATTTCATTTCATCTATTGATTTCCGGCTGCAAATTATTCAAATTTTTGTGTTTAGAAGGAAAGACCTGTGGATGTTGAAGCCATAAGTGAATTGAAATTCAACAACCATGTAGGGTTACGTTCCATGCCTATCGGTGTTGGATTAGATTCACAGTCTTCTTGTTCATTTCAAATCTCACTCAATCTCTTTCTATTTCTAAACTCTCTATCTTCATGGCTCTCAGTCACTCATGCATATCCATGGACTTCTGGAGAGCTTTCATCCAAATTTAAAGTTCAAAATTGAAAAATCAGTTGGAATGTAAGGCTTCATTGAGTATTCAATTATCTTCACCTGACTTATGATTGCAGAAATTGCATATTACGGGACTGCAGCTTAACATCATTTAGATTGTTATAAATATACGGAGAGAATTAGGAAACAAATTGGTGGGAGGGCCACTGATTGCTAACGAGAGATCAGATTTGAAAGATAAGAAGGAATGAGCAGCAAGAACGAGGGGGGTAGAGAAGAATGATAGAAGCAAAGAGAAGGAACTTAATTGACTTTGACATTCCCACACTTGTTACCTCTCCTCTCTCTCTCTCTCTCTCTCTCTTCTACTTCCTATCCTTGGCTAAAGAGAAACTGAACAAATCCGTAAATGGTATGCTTCAGCTCTTCATTCTCATCTTCTCGTTTTTTCTTTTTTTTTCCTTTGTTTAAGTTCAAAGGATTAATAAAAGTTTTTTCTTCTATGATTTTGTGATGAAAAACAAATATTCAATGGAAACGACTGGCCTCTCTCCGAAAACAAATATGAAGATGAAGCTTCTCATTGAAGGGAGTTAGTACTCCTTTAGACCTTTTTTTCTTTCTGGATCTTTAAAATAACTGAATCAGATGACACATGGGATTTTGGAAATATATGGAATATGATGCCCAAGGTTTTCTTACATCTTGATGAAACAACATTAAGAGGGAATTGAAATGAAGAGAGAGAGAGAAAGAGACAGACAGAGAGAGAGAGAGAGAGACTACTTCAATGAAAAAGGAAGAAAAGAAGAAGAGGATTTTAAATTAATGAGGTTCTTCTTTACAATTTTCATTGAAAGGTTTTCCGAAATACACAGATAGGCAAAGAAGATAGTAAAGGAAGGGTAAGGAGAGGAAAGGGGGGGGGATAAACGGAATAATTGAAATGAAAAAAGAAAAATGAAGAAGCACTATGGGTAAGTGGAATAAAATGTGAGAAAATGAAAAGAAGCAACCGTTCTGCACTTTCTGAGAGGGAATAATGAGAGTTCGACGACCAAAACGTGGCACATCAAAAGTTACGTGAAAGTATATCCACACGGCTTATATGGGCAAAACAAAAAAATTAGAATAAAATGAAAGAGAAAGTAATATTTAAGATAGAAAATGACGTTGCTTAAGATGTACAGAGAGAGATACAAAGAGAGAGAGAGAGAGATAGAGAGAGAGAAAAGAAAAAAATTAAAATGAATGGTTCTGAATGAATGAAATCAAAAACCATAGGATGGTCTGTTTCGTCTTTGTTGAGAAGAAAGATTACAGAAACATTGTATTTGTTTTTTGGCCTTACTAATTACAATCTATTTTTAAATAAGTATACATACATACACACACACATAAGAGAGTAGCAGAATGTATTTTAAAGGTTTTGCAAAGGTGAGGTGGAGTCTATTGGATGAGGTGCAAGACACACATAACACCTACAACACACACACACGCACTCATAGATCTATGGATGAAAGTCTTTATTGAAATCGTTTATGATGCTGCTGATGCGCGTATCATTGACGAATCTCAATCGTTTTGGTTGCTTGTTATCAGTTGTCTGCATTGAATATGGCTGAGAATACAAAAGAGACGCACTAACATCATCTCCTTTTCGCACAAAAGTAAAATAACAAAAAAGAAACGAATGTTTTGACATATCCTTTGAGTTATTTTCCTTTTTTTGCTTTCTTCCTTCATCTAGATCTTAGACGATAATCTGCTTTCATGGGTCTTTCCTCATTAACCATATTCTATCTCTCTTTATCTCCTTCTACTACCTCGCTTTCTCTTCTCTTTACTAAGACGTCATGTATACTATAACAACTGCATGTGCGTACATGTATGTGTGTACAGATTATTAATGTTTAAGAAAGAACAAAATTCAAGAAGAAACGTCTATTTTACTTAACTATGCGAAAGTTTAAGATGCAGCTAGAGGCTGTTCCTTACAAATTCAAACCCACTTGGAACGAATACGTGAGTAGAAGAGATTCTCTTTGCATTTTTCTTTTTTTCGTTCTCGTTTACTCCAAGAAAAAAAAATATTTGAGAATTCCAAAATTACATTTTTCTCTAAAAGAGAACCTGAGAGAGAGAAAGAGCTTTGATGCCTTTGAAGGATAAAGAAAAAAAAGTTTTTCGTTCCCGATCAACGGAAGACATGAATGCGAATGACCTGAAGTGAAAGTGAAACTAATTGAAGAAATGCATTTTGAACTTGCTCAAGTTCAAAAACAAAATGAAAAACCATTTTGAAACTTGACAGAGAAGACGCTTGCAAGATATCAAGACGACAAGGTGAGAGATGAGTTTAAACGAGAAAACCTTGATGGTCAAGCTGCAAACATATGAGAACTCTTACGATTTGTAAACTTCGAAAGAGAATTTGTGCCCTGAGGCTACATGAAAATGGCCGTTCATTATCCTGGGGTCAAGGAATGTATTGATGAATACATATTGACGAGTTATATATTGAGATTTAGGAACTAATGAGTAGGAAGTGAGCTTCGACTTCATCGAATGCATGCATGGTATATAGAATGGCATTATGTGAAGAAAAGAAGAGAGAACGAGGTAGGGAAGTAAAAGAAAATGAAAAGAGAGAAAGGTGATGTCGGGTAAGGATCGGATATCAGCCTTCCCGACATGAGGTGAATACCAGGTGGAAACAAAGAGGCGAGCAAAAGGCCAAAAGTTCCAAAATTGTTTGGAAAAGATGTATAAGCTTAAAACCTTTCGTAAGCTTTAAAGATGAATCTGCAAGCTCTTTTGATGGTTTCCGCGAGAAAAACCAGAGCATTGAGGGGATGTCGAAGATATTTGATATCTTCGTCCTGAACACAACAATAAGATGATCATCATTTGTTTAATTCGAACCAACAAGAAAAAAATTTTTTCGATCAAAATGTTTCATTCAGGAGAAGAAAGCAAAAACTAAATTATTGGCTTTGCAATAAAAGAGAAAGATGAAGCAAAAGCAAAAAGGAAAAAATGTGAAATGAAGATGATGTAGACCATGCCTAACGACGACGACGACTGTCTGGGTGGTGGGGGGGGGGGGGTCTCACGGTTCTTTTGAGATGAGAGAAGGGATAGGAAAAAACGAGTAGGACGGTCAAGAGCCATCGAGTTGATTCTTTGACGTCGTTAGAAAAAAAGAGAGTTTTTCTGTATATTTTAGTAGTTTCGCAATTATGAGCTTATGGCTGTCCATTCTGACGTCAAGAAATTATTGCAACCAAGGAGGAGAATGAGGGATGATTCTTCATTCTGCGCAAAATGAAAAAAAAATTTTCTGCAAAAAACAGAAGAAGGTGAGGCGTTATATTCTGTTTTTCGAGATCGTCCAATCCTCCAAAGAAGAAAATTGGAAAGCGAGGAGACAAAAAAAAATTTCAGTCGAGTGCCGAAGCAGTAAGCCAAAGACTGAAAACTTGAGTTTGTGCCCCTTTTAAGCCTTTCAAGAGATAGAGAGAGATTGAAGAAGATAGAGAGAGAGATTTTTAAAAATGAACGAAGAAAAAAGAAAGAGAATATACGAAAACTTGAAAATTAACAAAAACACGGCGAAGTACTAACGACTAGCCAATCTCTATTGACAGTTCATTCAGTTTTAACTATTCTGCAAAGTTGTTCATTCTTTGTATTCTATCGTTCATCTTGTCTGAGATAGAAGGTGTACGGAACGATGTGAATGTCCGACTGACGCCATTCATTCATTTCATTTTCAAATGATTAAGGCTAAGGAGCGGTTGCTATTCCCCTATGTGCTGTTGATGATGATCATGATGATGATGCTGATGATGCTGAATCTCACGTGTTTCGTAAATCTCCACGAGGAATGTTTTGAAAACGTTTTATTTGTGACGAAAATGTTGTTTTGTGTGAAGAAATGAAATGAAAATTGCGAAATCCTTCACTCATTTCGGAGAAGACGACGAGGATGTCATGTGTGTGTGTGTGTGTGGCTGTATTGAAGCCAAAAACCGACAAAGCCAATATCTTATATAAATCTTTAAATTATCTTATTAAAATAATAACATCTTTACAAAGGTGTACATACAATGGATTAGAACGGGACAAATCATGATAATTTCATCTAAAAAAGCAGAAAAAACTGAAGCAATCTGTGGGTGGGGTGAAATCAACCGGAAACCATTAAAGCACTGGGGTATATGACTATGAGCACTAAGGAAGTTCATTGATGAACTTTTGAAAACAGTTCTGAGCATCGGTAAGAAGATTTTAAAAGTTAGAACAAACAAGAAGAAAAAAACAGAAAATAATAATAGATGTGCATCTCTAAGAAGCAGTTGAAAGATTTTTTTTCATTTCTGAAACATAATGTGCATGTAGGGAGGGGACTTAGAGGGTCAGAGCTTGTAGCTGACGAGTGCGAGCAAACTGATGAAAAAGCATACCGGTATGGGAAATAGAAAAATTCAAACTTTTGTCTGTTTCTGTTGTTGTTGTTGTTGTTGATGTTGTTGTTGTTGTTGTTGTTTGGTGTTGTTGTCGTTAACGTTGTTGTTGTTGTTGTTGTTGTTTCATTAATATTGACTAAGTGTTTGTATGACGGACTACAACCTAAGCAACGTTGTTCAATCTGCCGCTTAACGCATTAGAGTTCTGAAACATATACTTGATCATATAGAAAGGTTACTAATGCTTACTTGAGCTTGAACAAGCTGTTGCAACAACATCAACTGTAAATCTGTTGTAGGGAATAGCAGCTTGTTGGCTATCGGATTATCGGATCTATAAAGGGATTGACATTATCTTTAACGTTTTTCTACGAATAACTCACCTTCTCCATGTAAGGTCAAGATTCTTCAAATCAGCGGGGTCCCCTCGTCGTTTGCCAAGTATGGAAGAGGAAGGAGAAACACGATGTTCCAACAGAGATTCACAATGAGATGAATCACTGTTGCATTGATCAGACTCTATGTTATCTTCCATTTTGGAATCGTTCTCTTTGAGTTGCTGTTTCTGTTGTTGGCTAACTAATATCGCATTTGATAGCATGGCGCTTGGAGATATATCAGCCTGTATTGAAAAATATTTATTATTTGTTTTTATTATTTGATGATCACTAACCATTCGAAGAGGTCCTAATTGGTTACGAAAAACCGCTTGGGCTGTGGCTGATTGACCTCCTTCCGGCATGTGTAACTTGGGGTTTGTATTTGAAGCATGCCGATTCCGACTCCGACGGCTACTGAACTCCTTTCCACATCCTGGGACGGTACACATGTGCATCTCCTTCAGATGAACGGCACTTGTATGAATTTTCAATGCTCCCTTATCACAAAATGATTTCTTGCACAAGTCACACGAAACGCGTTTCTTAGCCTTCAACTCTACGACTGACGAGTCCTGAAAATAGAATAGCATAAGTATATGAATGAAACAAAAGTGAAACCTCATTAGAAGGTAAAGACTGAGCATGGCTTGCTTCTGTCGGAGCCGGAGAAGGGGAATCTACAACATTCACTTTCTCTTCAGAATCCTCTTCTGACATATCAGTGATCGAAGCAACACTTCCTTTCCTCATAGCTTTTGACATCAAATTTCCGAAATTGGAAGTTGATGAAACCGGCAAAGTATTTGATGATGTGCCTGCCATCATTTGGTTCAAAACGGATGGAGCAATACCCGAATAAGTTGACGCTGTAATGAAAATTCAATTAGTGTTGAAGTTAAACCTGAACCCGATACCTGAAAGTAGACCGGCTACTGATGCCAACGACGTTTGCATGTGTAATGGAAGCCAGGGATTCATAAATCCTGCTCTTAGATTATTGAGTAATGGATTACATAGTGGAAAAGTAGAGAAACGATCCATGGCTCTCCACTCGTCCTCTATATTCCAAGATATACGTTGTGATCCGTCGTCGTTCTGTAAGAAAAGAAACTTGAGAAAACATATAAAAACAAGCAAGGGGACAATATGGAAGATTACGGTAATATTCAGAAGTCATTTATGTCGTGGAAAGCAGTATGAGGGCTCGTAAGGCTGTCCAACAGCGCAAATGACTGATGGATCTCTCGTCACCGCCATTCATCGTTCAGAAACGACGTGTTCTTTTGGAAGCCAAAAAGGGCGAAGACGTGGTGACCCAGAGGGAGGCGACTGTGTGTGTTCTCTTGGGAAGAACGACAAGAATGGAGAAGCTTCAACACCGAAGACAAGAACAAAACTTTAGTATTCAAAATGAAAGACAGATGGTAGTTATAGAGAGATAATAGTAAAATAGGAGAGAGTTGACAAGTTAAATGTTCTCGTTGCTTCTCTTGTAGGTCTTTTAAAAAATGAACTAAGAGAGAGAGAAACAAGGCAAGAGAGATAACAGAAGAGGAGTAGCATTAGCACAAACGCAATGATGACGAGAAAGATGCGAGCAATTCAGAATTGGCGCACACATCAGAATTCCCCCAGTATGTATACGAAACACATCAAATCATGATGATGAGCAAAACATAAGTGTGATAAGATAAACAGACCGTCATGAATATCATCTTGTTGTTCATCATTTTTTTATTTTTGCAATCCTCCAAAACGTTTTCAAATGAGTTTGACGAAAAGAAAAGAATGGTTGGCAACTTGGAAATCCGCCTGACCGCGCTGGACACCAACAAGCTAATACTCAATATTCTAATGATCGACACGTGTTTTAAGCTTAAACTATAAACAACTTAGGTTATGCTAATTAAAAGTTTTTTGTCAATTGACGAAAACAACCTTATTTAAATCGAAAACAGCCTCAAACAGCTTCGTATTTTCAAAAATCTCTCACCGAGGTTTTTCAATTTCCTTATATTGGCTATCCCCCCTGCCATCCATCGCACAAATCACGTACTGTCCATTATTTTGAAAATTCATATTTTTCCAAATGGTTAACGAAAAACAAAACAAAAAACAAAACAGAATGAAAATGAAGTTTGGAAATTTGAGGAAAAGAAAAAAAAAGTTTTTTTCCCTCAGAGTTCCAACCAAAGTTCAAACTACAGCCTTCTTCTCTCTCTCTATCTCTATCTCATCCTCTCCGCCTCTATAGTAGTTAGCATGTACGGAAACAAGAAATATGGTGAAGACCTCACATACGTATAATGTTTTGTACGAGAATAACAAATGACATAAAATGGCTTTAACAGGGCATTTCATTCAAAAAATAAAAAACGGTTATGTCCTTAACTGCACTTTCAGCTAATTTTTGTGTGAAAAAAATGTGTGCAACGAGGGAGATATGAGTGCTATTGAGACCGGAGGTGCCGAAAAAGCTCCAAAGTAGAAGTTAACTGTGTGGGTGGCAATGATGATCACAGAATGAGCCGGAAGAGCACGATCTAGTTGTTTGAATGAAAAACAAAACAGTTTTAATAACCTTATAGAGCGATTGACATAGTTACGATTGTTTCTCAGAGTTCCTTTTTTGCCCCAACCTTCTTTCTTTGCACTTTTTCTTTTTCATTAAGGTAGTATGGATGGCGAAGTTTTTTGAGAAAGGTTAATATTCAGAGAAATGGTAGTTAGTCATATTTTGAGATGATAAGTGACATGTGAGATAGTATGACTACTTGGTAAGATATAAAAAAGAATGAAAAAAAGGTAGGTAAAGGGACAGTGGATCAGGGCAGAGGAAAAGAAAAAAGACGTCTGAGAGCCTGACCATCGAGGGCATGCATGAAACAATGATTCGCAATAAGATGGTAAGGGCAGACTATGATTGAATGAGATGAATTGTATAGATTGAATTGAAAGAGTAAAGAGATAATCCTCTTGATAAAGAAAAGTTTTTTTTAAAAATAATTTAAAAGGTATTTGATAGATAAATAAATGTTATAAGAGAAAAGAGACATTAGTAAGTAGGAAATGCTACTGTTGATGGACAATGGCCAACGTCTGTCACGGATGTATGATGACGATCTTATTGTCTCAGCAAGAATGAAAATTGAATAAAAAAGCCAACAAAACAATAAAAAAAACTAATTGTATGATGAGACAACAGTCCCATACAACACGGTATTTATCACCAACGATCAGCAGGAGTAACAGAGACACACAGAGAGAGAGAAGAAATAAAATTAAAATATATCAATGATTTGATCATTCTTTAGAAGGAGGATGGGAGGGACCTGCTCAATCACAACTTGAACAACTTGAACTTGATGTTCAAGCTGGTGAATAGGTCAAGAGAAGCTCATCTGATACAACATTCAGACCACCACCGCTGGCATTTTTTTTTTAAAACGTTCATAACGTTCGGTGCAGATGTTCATCGGCCATTTAACATTAGAAAAAGCCTAATTGAGTGTCTAGAATCTCTTTCGCAAAACAACATGTGTCTCTCATCAGTGCTTCAAAGATTATGACAAAATTTGTTCGTCCTCTCTCCCATTCATTAATTCAAAATTTTGAAGAAGTCGCATGTCTCAATCTGATTGCACCTCACAGTCTATCTCGTCCTTGCTCTCTCTCTCTCTCCCTCTCTCTCTATTAGTTTCTTGATTATCTCTCCCACCAAATCACGTTGTTCACCTCATCAAACGACTTATGAAAACAAAATTAATAAAGGAATATATTAGAAATTTGAACATAGAATTATGATTGCTGCCTCATATGACAGACACATTCGCAGATGACACCGCTATTCCACTGCCGCTTCTGGACCGCCTCCCACTAGAGCTACCGTAGTCCAAACAAGGAAAACGACATGTCTAATGCCATTTAAACAAGCAACTCAAGCATCATATATATGTATTGAATACAATATAGATAACTTATAAGGCTATTCACCTCAAGGAATTTTACAATATGAAGATGATGGTTGTATGAGGATGGTAAGCATTGATGTGAAGTTGAGAATCTGGATGAGAAGAGATGAAGCAATGAAGATGCATTACGAAGGGAACAGAATGAAATTCCGGTGATTGTCGGTTGATTTCTTAATAAATTGGTTCTCTATAAATTCTTTGTAATTTCCGTAAATAGACACGATGCGCATATTTCAAGCAAATCGAAGCATTTTGATCCAGATAAATGGTCTTCTTGACAGCATTATATCTCGCAATGTTCAACAGAATCAAGAAATCAACAAGCTTTTCCATTTCATTGCTTCTGTCTTCATGCACTCATTCGGATACTACTTAATGCTATTGAAGATAAATTACTTAAGAAATGCTTTCGATTCCTTTTACAATCATAAAAATTGAATCGCAGCTCATCTTCTAACTACAAGCGCAATCATCATATGTCACACGTTAGCCATATATGCAAATGAACTGCCATGTTTGAGGATAATATGGTGGGACAACTGTTTGGACTGTCAGTATAAGCTGAAGATTTATCAGATTTCTTTTTTTCAAAATATGCTTCTCTCCGACCACATCATGTTCACATGCTTATCCATATTTGGGATTTTAGCTTCTGACCCTATGTCATTCGCTCCGAAGAGAAGAGAGTTTTGGATTCTTCAACAAGTCTTGTTTCCTTTTTTAGATAAAACTACGATTCAGTGTCATCCGAATATCTACGATGTTGTGTTCTAAATGAAGACTTGTTGGCAAAATGTAATTCTGAAGACAAAGTTTGACGATATGCCTTTGAAAGAAATGGAATGAGAGAAACGCTGACATTCCAAATCCCAGTTGCATATCGTGAGACTGCCATCCGTCAGCGGGTCGTTCCCGCATTAATCGTGTCGCTCGTGCTGATCATGTCGCCACCTCAACCTCCCTTGGGGGCGATGGTCCCCTTCCCTTCACACTCCCTATCAAGGCCCATGAGGCTAAAAAAGAATATGAAAGTGAGAGAGAGTTATGATGTAACAGCATAAAACATTATGAGAGAACAACTAGAAAGTAAGACAACAGCAGAAGCTGAGAAATAAAGAGATTGGCAAGAGATTGAGACTCTGAACATATAAGCTCATCGACTTTTGCCATGCATCCGGGGACGATAACGGGGTGATGACAATCCAAAACAATGTCTTGTCAACACAATATCTCTGAGAATCGCTAAAAATTCCAACAACTTATAGCTATTTGAATGGCACAAAAAGCAAAAATACAAACTACGCACTCCATCATCAGGCAATTCAAATGTTGTAGGATGGTAATTACAGAACAGTTAGTGAGGGCATTACAGATATACGAAGTTATACGATGCACTTCACGTGATTATGCTAAATTCACGTGAAAGTCACGGTACTGATACTCTTCCATTCATTGTAGTTCATTCTCGAATGGTGAACGGTTGGGTTCGGCTGTGCTCAAAACTTTTATTTTTAGAAAAAATGTTTTTTTTCTGTGCATGTCTTGTCTTTGCATTGGTTTGTAGTGGAGGATGTGGGAGTAGGAGGACAGTTATATCATAGAACATACTTGTACTTGATATCCTCTTTGATAATCTTCATAATTCCATCCAGCATCTGATAATATATCATTGAACTTGTTATTATCCATGCTCTTAACCAATCGATCACATAGTATCTTAACTCGTATAGGTATAGCCTGCAACATGCTTATTGATATCTCATGTTAACATTCTATATCTGACATTGTATGATTTCAAGACATCCGTAATGACATTTTCCATATCATTCGTGTCTTTGGATGATGAAGGAAGTTGATTCTGCAAATATAGAATTGTGGTTTTGTAGTGTTAATCATGATGAATATACGTTTTTAAAATCATCATCCACGTGAACATGGCATTCTTTGGATGTTCCTTGAACTGAGCACATCTGATTCAATATCATTATAATTCAATTTTCGAAACACTTTTGAAACCTTTAGAGTGTCACGAAAGATACGTGATTTCCATTGTTTTATATTTTCTTCTCTTCTATCAATCTGAGATTACAATTGAATGTGAATGCTAACAAGGCAAGTTTACCCTTGAGTAATCACAATCGTCCTCTAATTGATCGTTGTTGGTAGCTTTGTTCTGAAATGAATAGAATTTTAGTAACTTTTTCATTAAAATATTGTGCTTATAATGAACTGACCCAGATGACGTCAGCGTTTTTAAAATATTTTCTGAAAACAGCTTCTGTCATAGATTGTACAGGGGGATGTCAACTGAAACAGTCATGATATGAGATATAGGACATAGTAGTTGCTGTATGATATGAGAGTAAGAAGAGAGAGAGAGAGAGAGAGAGAGTTATCTGAAGAAAGGAGGGAGGGAGAGAGAGAGGGGGATGGGAGATTATGAAGAGCAAGAGATGAATGCAGAGAGAGAAGGAGAACTATGATCATGATGATCTACCCGTACCCGTATTGAAATCAAAAAAAAAGAAAAAAAAATTTTTTTTGTTTGAAAATTACATTAAAGATAATCGGAAATGGGAGATAATTGTTCATGGGAAAACGTTGTGAATTTCCTCATTCAATCGTTTTAAAGATGTCAAAAACAATGAAATTATTAAATTATAAAAGAGAGAAATGTCATCCGGAACATACAAAGATGTGCGGAAAGAGAGATCTAACACGAGAATCGTTTGTCCAATGAATTGAGCAGGTGACAATAGATATCTCAAAACTTAATTTCACAAAATAAAAGACACATTTTACAACTGAAAACACTTTTTTTTTCATATTTTTTATTCCATAATGAGCGGAGATAAAAGAGATTTTTCGATAGATTACCATAGATGGCTGATGTGAGAAGAGGGGGGGGGGCGACGAAAACATGCAAATTCTCTTAATTCAACACAGCTCGTTCATCTGCTTCTGCTTCTTCTACTTCGTCTTACTCTTCTCTTTGTCGTCTCATTTCATCAAAAAACATTAGATAGAAGCTAATAAACAACAGAAATGCTGAGTGAGGATTCAGCAGTAGAGATGAGTTGCATTCCGGAAACTCTGACCGGCGTCGTCGTCGTCGCAGCTCACAAACTTCCATTCGTCACCGGACCACGGACGAAGACAGTTGGCTCAAAGGGTTGAGACCTCAAGATCGAGAGGGAAAAAGTTCTTTCGTGTTCTCTCTTACTCTCTTCAAATGAATGATTTGAGTCAATTCATTGTTCCTCAATTTTGAAAGAATAGTTGTAGAGAGGGAGATGAGAGAGTAGAGTCTAATGAAAAAACCTAAGAAATGATGAAAAGAGTTAAGATATTGAGAGAGATTGAGAAGAGAGTGAGAGAAATAAGAATAGAGGTAGGATAGATAGCTAAAGCACGCATTGAGAATACATGTGTGTGTGAGTGTTTTAACATCGAAAATGATCATTTGTGTCAAAGGGCTTGGAAGATCACAAAAAGCTCATTCACCTTTGAAGCTATCAAATAAGGTTAGATGAAGAGATGAAGATCTATGAAATGGATTATCACATATGAATAGTAACTAGAAGAGCTTCAGATGAGCAGTAACACATATATGCACAGACGAAATATGATGAAATCTCTTCAAGTGGGGGGAAATAGATAAATTTGACGACCTTCTTCCGCATGAATTTGCAATTTGCTTCCATATGTGAGGCTAGTTGTTTTGTATGAATTGGCAGGTAAAAGTAGAGAGAGAAAAGAAAAATACTTTTGTTCAAATTCAGCTGCTCTCCATCCCTACCCCTTGACGACACGAATCATTTTTCTAATTATCTCAAAAATCAAGAATGAAATCTTTTTTCTCTTCTCTGCCCACACTAACTTCTGAAAAGGCTAAAAATTACAAAAATTAGCATTTTTGTCTCCATTTTTTCCTTTTTCTCCTACTTCTCCTTATTCTCCTCCTCCTCCTACTCCTCCTACTCCCTCCTTGTTCACAAACATTCCCTTTCGTGCTTCTTCTCTTCACATCAAGAAAAACCAAAAAATTATTGAAATTTTGCAGTTGCGAATAAGTTGGCCACCCTCATTTATCACTTTACTTTCCGACACATTACAATGTGACGACGAGCTGTTGGTGACAAAAGCCTTGCGACACATACAAAGCGTTTTCTCTTTCTCCCTCAGGGCAAACTGCTTCAATCACTTCTGTTTCTCGTTTTCTTATCTTTTTTTCTTGTATTCTCTTCAATTTTTGTCACAAAAAATGAATCTCTAGCCAAGTTCTACTGATCATCTTCTCATTAGCTTTTCCAAAATCTTTTTCATCTTACTCGCATGTGTTTCTTTCAATCTTTCAATAAAAACTTTTTCAACGTTCTTCTCTCTCTCTCGTAGACACAGCTTCTGATGTTCTTTTATGGTAATGAGGGGGTGTCTTAGAAAGGACATACAGGCCCCAGAGAATCAAAGTCTTCAACAAATGATCATTTCGTCATATGAACTTTGTCTTCAATAAGAGAGAGAGAGAGAGAGAGAGTGAAACTTAAAATGTAAACTTACCTCGGAAATTGGACGGAACAGAGAAAAAGAAAAAAAATTAAAAAACATAAATCTGTCGGATATTCGAAACAATCAACAACGACTTCCGAAGTCCACTAGGTGACATAGTTGGTGAGGTTGAAAAAAGCGAATAAACTACTTGACAGAAAACTTGAAAAAAGTTGGAGTTCAAGCTGTCAAACTTGACAGCACCAAGCAGGCGATCTCGTGCTTAACCATGTGGTTGCCATCTGTATCTCTATGATCAGCCCGATTTGCATATAATTTGTTTTAAAATTTGTTTTTTTCGTATCGTTTTCTTCATTGCTCCATTCAAATCTACCGGAAATTGCTTTTCATGTCCTCTGCCAACTAATTAATTTCTATAATTATAGGGCTCAGGATGAATCCGGTTTTTTCTCTTTCCCCCTTCCCTTCTCGTCATTTCTTTTCATCTCGAATCATATTATTCTCTTATCTGCGTGATAAGCAGATGAAAAATCCAGAACCTCATCACCTCTTCCAGTGACGGTTTAGAGATCCGAGCATATATGGGTATGCTTGTGCGCGTCGAACACGCGCAATGGGTCGCTACCATGAAACGCGCCTGCAGTCATGACTGATCCCATTTGGGTAATATCAACAAACTACCCAACTCTCTTCAAATTGCTTTAATGTCTCCTGTATTACCGGAACACTCGCAATTCTATGAAAAATGTAATGTTAAAGCTATAATTAAGGTGAGTATACCAGGAAAGCCCACCAAATCTGCGAAATGTCTCACCGCGTGGAGAATAAAGAATTTTTCCTGTTTACGTCCTTGTTTGTTATTGATGAATTGAATGTTTGTTGTAATTGCAGGTCTCGAAATTAATTTTGGAAAACTTCCCATATTTGTCGTTTCATAGTCTTGTTGGCGGAAATGATCAGGAATGGTCACAAACATTGGGATGCTCGTCCGATGAGCTGGAACAAATCGTAGTTTTCATATTTCTGTTTCTCTTTTCTGAGTTGTATCTGTTTTCAGTTAGATCATTTGATTTCAATATGGAAGTACATAGTCTATCATCAACCAAAGATGGAAGCAATGACTGAAATGTTAGAAAAGGTATCAATCGTTCGATTCTTGTCATACTTATATCCTTTCATAGGTAACAAATAATACTCAACTTTCTGATCTCATGGTTGACATATGGCGAGAGCAGGGACTCCACATAGTTAGCCGTGTAGGGAAGATTACTATGAGCGAAAGCCCTCGTGTTCGTGACGTTCTCATTTCAACTGATCTCCAACTTTCCAAGTATGCCAATATCCGTTGCAATATATGACAGACATGAAATTTCAGTGATTCCAACAAGGATGAGAGAAGGGTTGAGGCTACAATCAGTCTTTCAACCGACAATGGTCAAAAAGAAGTAAAGATCAGTAAAGAAGAGTTATTCAGGCTCTATGAAGAGGCTAATAAAATTCAGAAAGCTATTGATAATTTACTGGAATGATTCATTTCCCTAGTCTCATAAAATAAATTATTTTTTTCTATTCAAAAACCATTCGATCATATAGAGGACGGCCGGAGGAGAAATCGCATCAGGTTGATATAGAAGAGAGAACAGTTCATCCTTTCCAATCGAAACCTAAAACATTCAGAATCAACAGAATACCACCTCGAGCTCATCGCCCATCGTCAGCAACAATTACCGGCAGAATGTCCTCAAAGTTTGTGAAGTTTTCGATTTTATCAGCATTTGAAACTTCGACGAAGTATATTCTTTGCCGATCTCCACTTTGCGAGATGCCCATTCTACGAAGCATGATTTTAACAATTATCGTTTGATCCCGACTTACGCGAACGAAGTGACGTACTGAACTTTGTTTGAACGGAATCCTAACTTCTTTTCAATTGCTTCCATCACCTAATACATACGTCCTCATGAACGCTGATGAAGGAAATACCTTTGCTTCGTTGTTCTCATGTGTTAAAACATGAGTTGAACACATTTCCAATGTGTAAGCCAATTTAGGATCATGTGAGGTCCAGTCTATTTCCGCAAGTTCTTTGTTCTCATTTTCTCGTTTCAGAAGAGTTCTTCCGATCACAACGGCTTCAAAATGTAAATGGAATATTCATCGGGAGATTCATTTTTTTCTGACCTGGACGGAATCTTTGAGTGTAAAGAAAACTGTTTGTATCAGTATTGAATACAAGAGCTGCAACACTGTCCTCACATGGAGCCAAATCCCAGAAACGTTTCTTCTGGTTCTCAAACAGAAACCGTAACTTTCTGTACTCTTTACTGTACTCACCAAAGTGAAACACATTCGAATTGGATGATAACGATTCGATTTCTGGTTTTTTGTGAATTTAAAGTTTCCAATTCGTTGTTGAACTTCAGGCTTCCAAATGAAACTCGGCTCTTTCTGTAATGGCACTTATCGATGTATCACAAGGTTCCACGATACCTTCTGATAAATTTTTTCGTTCTGAAACCACCAAAGAAACGAAAAGAATACTCCTGGTGGTCCGTGACTGTCTTGGTTCTTCACATACTGATGCGCTTCTTCCTCGGTTAAGAAAACCTTGAAAGAAACATTAACAGTATAGAATATGCTCAGTGGTTACATTGGTGATGACTTCTCCCTCTTCTTCATTGCCCCCTCCACCGCTAATCTTCATTGTTTCATCGATCTCGGCATAGTACAAACTTTGAATAGAACCTGACTCATCAGCATCAATTCTGAAAGGAGCAACAGTTAGAAAAGTCAAAGACTATGGATATGTACGAGTAGGTTCCTAACAGTTGGAAATTTGACGTTGGTACTTTATAGCCGCATTCTTCTTCAACTTCTTCTCTTGCAATATCAACAAGCGGTAAGTCCTGAACCACGGTGACTATTTCTTCATGCTTCTCCTACCTTATCCACTAAGCCTCCACATAATTCTAGAGTATATCCTATCTCAGTACTGTAATTCTCCCACTGAATATCTTCCAGCTTTTTTCCCAGATTTTCAGGATATTTACAAATGCGTCCAACGAAAACAGCTTAAAAACAACATGAAAGGAAATCGATGAGAATTTCTGAACCTGGTCGGAACTGTCGAACAACAAGGAACTTTCTGAATGTTTTGTGATATAAGAGAGTAATAACACTGCTATGAGCAAGAGCTAGGTCAAACTTTCTCTCTTTCCCATCCTGAACATGCAGATTCTTATGAAAAGCTATTGTCAAACCAAACTTCGACGAAAGAAAATTCCACTGGCTTCATGAACCTGGACTCAAACTCTTTGACGAATGATACATTCTCTAGTTTCTCCATGGCTCTGAAAACCCTAAGATTTAGCTTATCGAAAAAATCGAAAGTAGTAGCATCAATCGATTCACAGGCAAGTGGTGGGAAAATCGATTCGGAATAGCTCTCTTATCAAAATACTGTTGGTCATTCAATACGATGATATCTCGTAAGAAAACCTTCACAAGTTTTGGAGATTCGATGAGAATTCAGAAGAATAAATAAAAAATTACGAGATCAGTTCAAAGCCCTCCCTTCGCACTTTCATGTTATTTCGAATAATCTTGTTATCTAGCTCACTCGTAGAGAATAATTGTTTTGTTATGTCGCTTCTTATAAACTGATTATGTCATCCCTACTGAGGCGGCTGAAAATGGAAAAATTTCGTGCTCTAATGTACGACGTGCGAACGAAAATGTTTGGGGCATTCCAAGGCACCACATTTGCTAAATATACTTGGCCATGCTCGACTCTACTCGACCCCTTTTTTTAATTTCGAGCTTTACTCGAACTCGGCTTGTTTACTTTTTTTTTTATTTTCGAACTGAGCTCGAGTTGGACTCCTACCGTCTTGGCTCGAGCTCGCGAACGTACTTTCTGACCTAGTATACTGTAGATTCTACAGTATATATATCGCATCGTCATATATCGTTTACAACCGGGAGTCTCAACACTGTCCATCTTCTATGAATGTTTTATGGAATCGTATTTGTTGTCGCCTAATCTCAATCCTCCGAACGTTGAAAACCTAGTTAGTTCTTCATACATGTATGTTTCAGTACTGTGCTTGATGTGTAATTGCGGTTTTGCCAACTCTAGGTAGTGGCAGACACTCTCGCTATGAATCTCTGACGATGCGAGTAGGAACAACACTGTTCCTGTGTTAAAAAGAACTGTATTATTCAGCTCATTCTATTATTCAGATGGAGTGTTCTCGTCCTGGCTTATAATCTTTCGAGGTAAAGTTATTCATCTCTTACCTACCAGCTTATGAGTTGTCTAAACTGCATAGTTTCTAATGCATCCTGAAGTCTTCTTTCTTCCAAAAATGTAAGTTTCTACTGTTTTCTGATCTTCATTATTCGTGTACATATTTTTTATTTTTTTCAGTTTCAGTACGATGAGTAGAAACAGTATGTTAGTAGCTTACAATCAATGTTATTTATAACAAAATAATAGGATGATGTTTATAATAGGACAGTCCGGAACAGCCGCTTGATCATTATTCTTATGCGATTTGAACATGCAGTGCATGTGTTCCGCATTATGGAGGAAGAATACAACTATTCTGGATAAGCAACGGTTGAACGCTACCCTTCCAGAGTACTAAAAATGGAATGAAACTGTTCAGAACTCATCTGACCTAGTTCTGCTAAGGTATTAACATGAATTCGAGCTGATGAACTTCCTCAAGGAAGTAAGGAGTGAAGCTTATCGGCTCATACTGAAATCTGATTCGTTTTAGATCTCTGAGGACTTATCCACCTCGTGAAAACCCGTGAGCTACAAACTACTTGAAAAGTATTTTAACATGAAAGCAAAACAAATGTTCCGGCTGTTCATGCAATCGAAACAAAGGAAACTTGGAAACATTAAAAGTAAGAATGGAGAGATTCTAAAAGTGTTTAGGTTGCTTATCATAAAAATTCTCTTTTTCACAAATTATTAGAGTTTTGGAAGAAAAGAATCAAGCTTACCGTGAAGAGCATTCAGGCAAGTAGATGGATGAGCTCAAAAGTTCGGTTGTTTTTTCTCGTGGATCTTCTGAAACGTAAGTCAATAGTAATAAAAAGTTTGAGTTCATAGCTGTTCTCGAATGAAATGCACCCGCTCTGAGCGGTTTTTGGTGGAATGCTACCTCTCGGTGCGTTTCAGATAAGACCTGGATTAGTCCAGGTCTCATCCCTGAGCCGATGAGCATTTTGCTCTTCTCTGGAAAAACTGACGTGATTCAGAAGCTCCACGGCTTATATACTCCCCGCGAGAACGTGTCACGTGGAAATAATTTTTACGTGAAAGAAAGTTGACCCGGTCGTTCTTATTTGAAAAAGCTTCCATTATCGTAAGGCATCTGAACGTAGTAAAAGGAGCAACATTAATTGGTTAGTTCAACTCTTAATTTGGGC